TCAGGTGGGTCCAGGGGACGCGGCGAGATAAAGAACCACACTGCTTCAGTGTAGCCTTTGTTGCTGGGGGTTCCGAGCGCTGACGATTTCCAGCCAGCGTGGTTAAGCAGTATCTGGCGGAGGGAGCTCTCTGCAACTCCAACCTGTTCAGGCAGCAGTGAAGCTGGGGTTGCAGGAGCTCAGACACATGGCACAGAAACAAAGACCAACTCACCGAGTTCTCAGATCTGCTGCGCCTCTCTGCGACTTCACTACAGGGGACGATTTGCAATTACCTTGAAAAGCCCCATCTGGGAATGCCATCTCAGGATGCTCAGGTTGGCCTCTGTGCCAGGTCCTGAAAGCTGCTGGAGCCGGGGAGGCCCAGAGGGCTCCCAGCTCCTGCGCCACTGCCGCAGTGCCGCTATTACCTTGCGAACCACAGCACAGCCATGTCCGACCACGCGGGAGTGAAGGAAGCAGAGCCAGGCGTCTCCAGCCTCGCAGGAGGCCGGAGGGTGACACCGCCACCCTCTCATGCGGCTATTACCTGAACTCAGTCCCGTTTCCTTCCCCGGAAAGGGCTACTTGCCCACGGCAACACTGAGCACACAAGAGCCCTCGACAAAGCTCTCTGCAGGCTGTCGGTGTGCACCCAGGGGATCCCAACAGTTCGGACAGGCAAAGGAGTTTCCCCAGAGCATGGGGACGGGCCCGTTTTGGCACAAGCACTGCCCATAGCTCCCCTTTGCTGGTGGATGGACACAGGGAAAAACCACAGTGGATGCCAGACACACACAACGGGGTACAGGCACGTGGCAGCTCTTCCCCGAGCCTCCGTGTGAAGCCAGCTCAGGCAACAGTCGCAGTGCCCACGCCACAAGCCACACGGTGCTCCATGCCTGAGAACACGCGTTAGTGACACCGACCCATCGGCACTGGACCATGCCGAGCCCTGACCTGCCCGATCCCATGGCCGTGGGGCACCTCCCCTCCCCGCTGCCCAGCTCACCGGCTGCTCGGGCAGGTTCAGCTC